CTAGATTGCCTCTTATGGCTTGGACGTCAAGAACTATCTCGGCTTCAGTCTTTCGGACCTAGCACCCCGTCTTTTGAAGCTTTCAGAGGATCCTATCTGTCCCCTGAATCCCTGCGGTGAAGGCGGAGAGTTTGAGACCTTCACCTTCGACTGTCCCCTGTTTCGCCAGCGCATTGTTCCGATTCAGCAGCCGACCATCATAATGCATTCGGATAACGCCCTCGCTCCAGTCGCCTATCTCAATTACGGCGGTCTCGATTTGCAGGTTTGTATATGCACAGACCTCTACATCGGTCGGTAAATCTACTATTACCGCCGTACTATCTCATTTATTGCTGCCGGTAGTAGCGAAAGCGCGGATCGCAGAAAACGATTAAGGAGAATTTGACGCGATCGTTGGATCGACAACTTTAGTCACCTGACGTTTCGGATTCATGTTCGAATCCATCATTAGAGACAGCATCAGATATGAGTAATTAATGTACAGGAAGAAGCAGTATTTATAGGAGGCAGTCACCAGGCTACCGCAGTCCAGTGGTGTGAGACTTCATATGAGAATTTCTTCACGTACGAAAGCATTCTATAAATACCGCTACCCCTAGTGTTTATGAATTACCCGCATCTGATGATGGGTTGGAGCAAGAATCTGAAACGTCAGGCAAATAAACTTCTTATTCCACCGATCTACTTATTCCCAACCGTTTTACTAAGAGAAAGATAGGTGAGCGCCTTTGAGCCCCCTAGCGGTAAAAAAGTGGCTAAAAACGTATCGACACAGAAGAAAAATTCAAAAAGGACGTCTATTACATGATTGTGGGCGAAAAACGAGCAACTGTTAGCTAAGCGGAAGAGTAATCATAAATGGCTACTCAATAAGCACGAGTAGAATAATAATTAAAATGGTAATTTTCTTCCCGCGGGGGTTAGCTTGTAGCTGGTGAATGAGATATTTGATGCATGCATACGATTGCTCAGACGTTGCCTTTGTCTGTAGGCGAAGG